GGTCGCTGTAGGAGGAGAGCGATGGTACCAGCTGCTGCCTCCAGCCCCAGCACCTCCTGTGAACCCCCAGAGCCATCATCCCCACTCTTGGTGCACACATCGGATCAGCACGACCGCAGCAGTTAGAAATGTGCTTCCTGGACCAGCATCCTCCTTCTGGAGGGCAAGGAGAGGGGCTGCTCTCTGCTCCGGTCAGACCCATCTCACCGCTCACCCAAAGGGCGTATATTTTCTTTGGGGAGAGGAAACTTTAAACCATTGCTGCTTCTTGGATTCCCGGGATCCAGCAGGAGCACAGCCAGCCTTGAAGGCTTCCAGGAGTCCCGTGGGGTGGCCGAGGTGAGCAGCACTCCTCCCGAGGGCACGGCTGGATGTGCCACTGTCCTCTGAATGTCACTGTAGCCAAACTCTTTACCAAGCCTATCGTGCACTGTTAAAGACTCTGAGGCCACCGTCTGGCTCTCAATGGTGTCTAATTGATGCCTTAAAATCCACAAACAGAAGAAGCCCAGCAAAGGGACAGGACCTGGAGGAGGTGAGGTTTGGGGACAAAACTGGATGCAGCATCCTGAACCCTCCAGCATGTCCATACTCACCAAGATCCCAGCTGACCATTGCTCTGGGGATTCCCCAGCCAGGCAGATGGGTTGAACACCCTGGTTTGCATCCATGCCATCGCTGTCCCGGGTTCAGGGGCCGCCTGCTCTCTGCACGTGGTCCTGGGTCATGGTTCGGCTGGGAACGGATCAGCCCGTTTGCTGTTCCTCTCTCTGCATAGCAGATTCTGGGTTTATGGAAAGGTATCGGTTCTTAAACAAGAACAATCCAGCCTTCTAAATGAGGAGGATTGCCTGGCATTACTTTTTGGGTGTTAATTTTTTGCCTTTTTTTTTAATTTGAATGCTAATATTTTAATTTTTAATGACTTCATATCCCTTTATTTTTTACGCTATCCTAGTATTCCCGATCCCATCTGCTTTTACGGCAGCAGAAGGGATGCAATTCCTTTTCTCATTTGTTGATGAGATGATGACTGTGTCCTGGAAGACGTTCTCTCTCGATGTGTGGGTGTGTGTTCATGTGTGAGATACCGTCTGTACAGTGCAAACAGCATGGAAGGGAGCATTTGCAATTAGCAACTCCCTGGCAATTAAGCAACCACTTTAATTAACTAAAGGTTGAAAAAATTAGTACTGTAAGTCACAGGCCTGTCGTAGACCCACCTGTGCCATGAAACCTCTTGGGTGGTTATCAACGCGTGTGCTGTAGGGCGTGTGTATGGACTGAGACGCGTTATCGGGTGTTCTCCACGTCAGAGAGGAAAGACTCAACCACTGGTACCTCAATAGTGTTCAGATGTAGCATTGGAAATATGGTCTAACTGTTTGGTTTGAACTCGTTCCTTTATCCTTTCTCCCCTGCTCCTTCTCACAGAGTGCAGATTTCACTGGTGATGGTATTTGTTGCTCTAAATTGTCGAGTGGCTCAGGACTTCTTCTTTTCTCTTTTCTTTGGGGTGAAAGGAGAGTTTGAGACGAGACGGGGACTCCCCAGCTTCAGACAATTTTGACAGCGATCTGATTTCTCCTGGGCGGGTGCCTGCATGCTTTACAAGCCCTCTTCCAGTGCCTAACGTTGGACACCTGAAATAACCAGCAGCCTCTGAAATAACCTGGGCTGCTTCTCCCCCCCAGCCTCTCCCCAAGGACAGTCTGGGCTTCTCAGCCTGAGGACGCCTTTTTGGCTTTTAGAACAGACTCTCAATCTGCTTTTCATTCCCCTCTCACTCACCAAGCCTCTGGCCCATCCTCCCATTCCTCTGTGCTGCAGAGGACCCTGCAAATATCCCGTCTCTGCTTGTCCAGGTTGGCTCTTGGGCTGCCCTGAGGACATCACATGAATCTGCTTTGTTTGAAATAAGGATGAAATCAGTGAAATCTGCTCTGTTCCATGCTTGTGCCTACGCACGAGCGAGGTCCCAATCCTTTTCTTCCCATTCCTATAAGCAACACCAGGATTTCAGTCTCCTGCTGGACTCGTATCGCCTGGCACATCCAAGGTGTCCCTGGCTCTGGGGTCATCTTTGAAGGGGGATCAGCCCAAAAGCCCCATGGCCATGTCCAAATTGAAAGGTGCTGGTGCTGAGGGGGGAACAGGGCTGATTTTGGGCAAGGAATGATTCATTATAGCGGCTCCCCATCCAGTCCA